GCCAGGATGACAGATAAACCCAGGTGCAAAGGGGCAGATACATCCTTAATTTCAAACTACTTTCTTATCTTCTTCTGTGGCATTTCCTTGTACTCTTTCATGGTCTATCAAGCTCGTCGTGTACTGTCTTCTGTCACCTTTCTCATGCTCTTGCTCTTTTTAACATGTTTGCATGTCCTCTCTCTTTCTCCATCTTATTCATCCTTGCACTCTTATTTTTCTCTCATACATCTGTCTCATATGGCCACCCAGCTCTCTACTGGCTAGCAACCTGTTTTGTTTTGGTGTCTTGGACAAGCAATCAGGTAGTTTGTGTGAAGGTCAAAAAAACGTTTAACAGTGACATGGAGTTGGCTTTTGGGTGTGTTGGCTAAAAATGCTAAAAGCATTAAGTTTCTAACCCAGCAAAAGTAGACAGTGTGATATGTGAGATTTTGCATTGTTTTCACTTGCATTTTGAGGGGTGGTTTCTAGTGTCATACATTCCCTGGATCCAAACTGGTGAATAACACTGCAGTGATCCAGAATGAATGCATGTTACAGTCTGCTGTTTCATCACACCCGCATACCTTTGAGGTTTTGCATACTTTGTTTTCTAGCTGCTTGATGTAACCTTTGAAACTTCAGCTTGAAAAAGCTAGCAGATTTTTTCTTTCCATCCAGTTTTTCTTTTCTTTCCTTTTTTTTTTTTTGTTGTTGGGCCAAATCTCAACTAAATGACAACACAGCTCACTATAGTGGCCTTCCCTTCACTCAAGATACTATAATACTGCTCCTCTTTTATCTACCATTTTCCCTTTTGTTTTATGGCTTTCTTTGTTGCAAGCTTCCTTGTTGTTCCTTCCAGATTATGCTCCTTGGGGACTTCTGTATCAGTATGAGTGAACATTGCTTGCAGCCATGCCAGATTGTGCTGTGATTTTATTGGATTTCACAAACCAAGGTTAGGCCAGGTCAGAACTTGGTTGAAATAACATAGATGACAAGATTTCCTGCTAGCCACTGGGAACACACACAGCAAAAACCTGACCTAGATCCTGATTCAGTCAGCTCAGGGTGACAGTGTTGCCGTGATGATTGTGGTGGATGCAATATAAAGGAGTTCTGACCTTCTATGCCAATTCCAAATCCTTTAATTCTCTATCAGGATTACACTGCAATTCTTTTTCTGGTACCATTGCATGATGTTGTCTGCCTTTAAAGCTTGCTACTGCTGTCTGAAGAGCTGCATTTCTGTGCTGGGTGAAATAGTTTCAAAATTTTCTTTGCTATCCTGATCTTCTGAAGCAAAATAAAGTATACTGTCTTCAAATGAAAGACTCCAGAAGAATAGAAATTGTTAGTAAAAGTAGCATACAGAAAAGTTCCAGTTGAGATTTTCCTAGTGTTTCTTCAGGTTTCTAACCAAAAGACTGTATGAAGAAAAGTATGTTCAGACTTTGTTTCTCTGACTGTATACTAGGTGGAAAATGGCATGTAATTATGCTAGAGTGCCCCAAAATCACTAAAAAATTTGTTGTTTAGAAAAGACTTTTCTAATTATTGTAAAGGTATTTGGACCTGTTTGTGGTATATAGGAGTAAGCTATTAAAAAGCATTAAAATAAACCTGTAAGAAGCTAGAAAGTGAACATCAAGAAGTATGTGATGGTGTTTGTATTTTAAGTGTCCAAGTTGTGCTTTTTAACTGAGTGAGTATGTTGAGCATCCAAGTTTATAGGGAATTTAAGAATGGAGTAGAGAACTTAATATTGCATAAAAGATGGGATTTTCAATCTGATTGCAAACACTTGCCCATTGGTATTGAGCTTACCCGTAATTGTTCTTAATAAGTAGATTTTCTCAGTCTCAAATAATCCTAATTGTTAGTGCAAAGCTTGGCACTGCCAGCAGAGATATGGAAGGTGTAGTACAGAAGGCTGGAAGGAGCCTTTCATCTCTGTCATCCCTTGCCAATGGCTTACTGTACTTGCAAATTCAACAAATTGTTGGTGAGGGTGAAATCTGGTAGTTAATTGCTCTGTACGCTCAGAGGGCCTTTCTGCAATGGAAGAATCTGCAGTTTGAGACTGTAGTGGCTGATGTGGCTACAGCATTAGTAAATACATAGGGGAATGTTCTGCAGAAGGGTATGAAGAACTTTGTTGATTGATTCCATTCCTACCTCCTCTGTCTTAGGAAGACCCAACCTGGCTAATATTTTTATGAAAACAGCATGACTAATATTCACCTGCTGAACAGATACACTGGATAAGATTATTTATTTTTGGCTGTTGCTTTCAGGTGTTATTTACAGAATCAATAAAAGGGATTTTCCAATTCAAGGATGATTTTTTACCAACAAGCTGCTTACCCTCTGAGGTCAGAATATTTGATCTGTTCTTTTTCAGAACAAGTTAATTTAAAAATGATAAGTAGTTTCCAGTTCAGAATTAGTTTTTCTAGTATAAAGGAGGGATGCATGTAAAAGAAACACCTTGGTGGGGGAGAAAGAATTTTGCCTCAGAATAACATAATTATACACTGCCCACAGATACTTAATTGTTTTAGCTGCTTTTCTTTAAACACCAATCACTTAACTGCACACAATATTTTAATGACAAATGCAATGTTATAACAAAATGCAGAAACTGTTTTATTATAACTATTGAAGTCTGGAAATACTCCATAGACTTTAGTGGGTATTGGCGGAGACCCTTTATAAAGGACAACATGATATTTTGTGACTATTGTGGGCCAAAAAGAGGAGTGTTTCATGCCATTGTGGAGGTATTGCAGGCCAACAGTAAGTGTGTTCACACATGTGAGTTCAAAAGCAATTAACTCTTTTTGCACAATTATTTCATCTGATTCTTCTGTGACCTGTTGAGTATATCATGTATACATTACACATGTGCATGTGTACACACACAAATGCACAAATATTTTAATAGATATTACATTCCTCCCCTCTGTATTTACTTTGCTCCCCCATTGCATGCTTAAGAGAAGAGCCTTCATTCTAAAAGGACTGTCAGTGTTAGACCTCTGCAGTTCTGCCTGTAAGGTTGAAGTAAGCTTTAAATGAGTAAAATCATGCAGGTATCATTTTACAAGCAGTAGCCCACGCCTACTATCAGCATGAATTTTGCAGGGTAAGAAAAACTTAGGCAAGAAATGTTCTTCCACTGGAAGCACTACAGTGAACTTTACATGCCAGAAAAATTGATTAGATTTTTAGATTTTAAAAAAGATGCGGTATTTTTAGATCAAACTCAACTCATTCTAAGCCCGAGATCATTATCAACCATAAACAGTGTCTCTCTACTTTTCCTACACTCTAGTAAGGCTTTTGGGATCATTACCTGTAAAATACACAGTCTGTGAAAGTCCACATAAAAATTGAATGCCATTAACTTTGAGAAGCTCTGGCTTCAGACCCAAAATATTGTACATTCTCATGTTCCATTTTTCAAAGTCTACACATCCGTACGTTTTATTCACAAAAAAATAAAATTATGTACACACTTTGATTCCTCCTTCCCCCCTATATACATAGTGTGTGTGGGAAAATAAGAGGAAGATTTGCTTGGCTGGTTGCATTTTGTTGTGTTTTTTTTTTAGAAGAATAATTTTATTGGAAAGATTTCTTTTTAAAAAATTAAATATATGTTTCATTACTATGATTAGGGCAGGGTTTTCCTTTTTCAGATGGTGAATAATTTATAATGTTCCACTAAGAATCTGGCTTTTGTATGGCTGTGGTGCTGATGGGAGCTACTGGCAATAGCAGCTTTCTAACACTCAACTGCTAGTTTATTAGAAGTATAATAGGAACAGATGTTTTCAGTTCATAAAATGGATCAAGTAAATGGTACATCCACTTGTTATTTCAATTCCTTTAAATTTTTGTGAACTCATTCATTTGGGGCTAGGTTTTCAAAAGAGCTTAACCCACTGTCGCCCTGTGGTTCTCAGTATTGTCTGATGGATGGTGAATATGTTTGAAACCCACAGCTTTTTATGCCTAAAGAGGAGCTGCTACATACTGATGGTTCTAAAAATCTGCCCCATGTTTCTGAGGAGTAAATGTTGATAATTGTAGAGGATTCATACATGCAATCTCTGAGTAATACCCTGCATTTGTCTGTGGTTGTATATATGATGGCTTCTAAATTTACTATTGCACTAGGCATTTTAATTTAAATTATGCTAGTATTGTAGGATTAACTGTAGATTATGATTCTGACATGTACTGTCATACAAGCAGAAGAACCAGTTCTTTTGCTCCTGCAGTCTCTTTCTCCCTTCTCTTCCTGATGCATAGTAATTTGCACTCAAGATTGGCCTCAGGTTTTGATGAGATTTCTTGGTTAAGTTGATGAAGTTGCTTAGGGAAAGGGGTTGTTGAAAATTAGAAGAAGAGACTAGGGTAATTTTATTTTTTTATGACACATTTTTATGGTGCTGAAGTGATTTGCTGGAAATGATTATTTGAATGGGCTCTTGTCAACATTGCACAGTGAGCAGTTCTGGTTTTGCCTTCATTCTGCTGTGGTGGGACAGGCTTTTGCACTCTTGGCTCAGACATGTATTTGAGAAAACTTGTGCTAGGGGGTTGTACTAATACCCTCATAAAGGGTGAAGAATAAACAATACATGTAACACTGCAATACATGTAATGCCATTGCTGTCTCCAGTACTGAAAAAATCTTTGTAACAGCCTGAGATTGCTCTTCTTGAAGCAAATCTCTCCAGAGATCTCCTCCACTCCCAAGCTGCAGATATGCTGAAAACACAAGTTTGCCTTGTTCTGTTTGCACTTGTTCCACTGTGTAGCAACCTCAGATTGTTATGGCATGCAGCCTGTTTGCATTAGTGACTCGCTGTTTAATTCATCTGTGTTCCTTCAAATCCCTCATTTATTGCATTTTTTTTTTTTTTGTGGAGTGCTTGATATTTCTATTGGCTTCATGTTGCAGTAGCAGACTAAAATTTGCTTTTTTTCTCTTTTTCCCATAGCTGATATTATTTCCACAGTTGAGTTCAACCACACTGGAGAACTGCTGGCTACTGGTGACAAGGGGGGTCGGGTTGTTATATTCCAAAGGGAACCTGAGGTATGTGAATTGCCAGTGTAGTCCTTAGTAGCTTGCTGAAACCTGACTTTATTTTTAATACTTTAATTGGATCTGACTAAAAATCTTGTTTATGATCTCGAGATTCAGTAAAGCAGAATGTCACTTCTTTGGAGAGGAAGTGAAAGAGGCTAAGGATCTTTTACTTGGAAGTTTGCTGCCCTGAACAAAAATACTTCAAAGCTGAAAAATTTGAAGATAAGAAATAGGAAGGTTGTTTTTGGTTTACTTCCACATTGTTTTAATAGCTTCTGCCTGTTTGATGGAACCATTCAATTTAAAACCGTGCCTTTGCTGTGATACCTTTATGTTTGACTTTTTAATTCAGTCCATCTGCAGTATCTTTTGTAGAAGGCTTTCCTAAACAATTGACATTTCTTTTAAAAATTTGCATTTTGTTAAACGTTGTTTGAACACTTAAAGGACATTTTATTCCTTTAGAAATAAATCTGTAAATATAATGTTTTAAATGAAAAATTAAATTACACTTTCAAGTTTTTTATATTACAAGGCCACTTACACAGCTTTCTTAAGAGATGGAGATGTATTGCCATTATAAGCCATATGTTTTGTTGTTGTTATTCTCCATAGAGTAAAAATGAGCCTTACAATCAGGGGGAGTACAATGTTTACAGCACTTTCCAGAGCCATGAACCTGAATTTGATTATTTGAAGAGCTTGGAGATAGAAGAAAAAATAAACAAGATCAAGTGGTTACCACAGCAAAATGCAGCTCACTCACTTTTATCAACCAATGGTAAGAGAGATGAGAGTTCACAGGACATGCCTGCATTTTGCTCTTGTGTGTTTCTGTGCTGACATATATGTTTGTTAATTTTAATCTGCTGGTTTAGTAATTTCCTCTTTCAGAGTTTACCAAGATGATCATATTGACTCTATTATCTGTTGTTTACGTATTTTATTAATGATCACATGATTTTTCCTGTTGACTGTCCACAGACAGTTAGAGAGCTATCAATTTTTGCTATTAATATGCAGTGCTATCCTGAAAAAAAATAATTGTGACAAAGCCATCATCTTACTCAGCAGCTTTGTTTCACTGGAGATTTAGAATTTTGTCTGTTATATTTGTCATAACTTTTATTCTTTATAGAATAGAATTATCGTAGGCAAGAGAAATGAATTAGTTTTGTGTTTTTTTTTCATTATCATCAGAATGGTTAAGTTGTAAAGAGTTACAGAAATCTTTGGAATAATACCGTGATACTGATACTGACTCATCTTTCTAATGTTCTTAAGGCCTATTGATCAAAAATTTGCTCTTATTACAAAGAGGGAATATGTGACACAGGATGTGGAAACTGTAGTCTAACACACACAGATGTCATTTAGGAAACATTTGGATACTTACAACCTTTATTACCTACAACCTCCTGTCATGCAGAAGACAAAAATTTACAATTTTATATCTTTGATCTCATTGTAATAAGAAAAGAATTTTTCTTGTAGAAGTTTGAGCATACTTGGGAACTGCTGATAGAAAAATAATCTCACCTTTGGGAATTGATGCTTTAGGGCAAAGTTATTATTTCTAGGTAAAATTTTAGCAATAAATGGTATTTACATTCATTCACAGTAGATAGCAAATTATGCTACGTTTTGTAGTCTCTTTTCTTTAAAGTTGTCTATTGACTTTTTGGGGCAATATTTGAACCATTATAGCTGGGCAATTTGTGTTAATTTAATAATTAGTCAGCTAATTATGAAGTTTGGGAGTTTACTTCTGCACTTCTTTGTTCAAAATATCCCTCTGGTTCAGATAACTTTAACTAAGAATGTCTTCTTCCAAATGCATAATACAAAAGCAGATTATTAAAAGTAAACCTCTCCTTTTTGAATTTAAAGTTCATTTTTGGAATCACTGAGGAGTAGGGCTGAGTCACAGAATCACAGAATGGTTTGGGTTGGAAGGGATCTTGAAGATCATCTAGTTCCAGTCCCGCTGAATGTACAGGGACACTTTCCTCTAGACCAGGTTGCTCAGAGCCCCTCCTTGGCCTTGAACACCTCCAGAAAGGGGGCAAGTCCAAAGATACACTGCTTTTATAGTTGGCCTAATAGATCTTGTTGTCAGTTTTCTTTTTGATATTAATATGGGAGAGGAGAAAGGAAGAAATAAACCATCTCGGTGTTGCTCTGGGTTAATCCAGTTGCAGCTAATAATGAGCAAGTCTAGGACCTGGCAAAATGCTGTGGCCTCTTTTTTTTTTCCCCCTTTTTAATTCTGATGCATCCCGGCAGACCTCATTATGGTGAAGAGAACAGTGGTGCCATTGGCATAGCCTTTGGATTTTGGCTTTCAATTACAAAACATTTGTGTCTGCCAAGGAGGATCCCTATCTTCCTGGTGCAGCAGGATTGAAATCTAAACATTCACCTCTTGGCATAGTCTTAAGTATAGGTTTAACTTTAGGATACAGAAGGCCAATGTTGAAATCCTTGCTGTCTCACAGTTTACCTGTAAGAAGTAATTGACTATGTCTGTCAATTTCATGCCTATAAAAAGGAATAATGTTATTTTCCCAAACTTGTAGAGGATGAAGGCATTAGATGTCATACATTCTCATATTAGGTAGGTTGTAGAAGCATCCTCAGTATTGGTTTATATTTAATAATTTTTGAGCCTGATATTTTAATGAGATTTTTGACATTTTGTTCCCTGGTATTTTAGGGTCTAAAGCACAGTTCTGGTCAGAAAAATGAGAACTGTGAAACAGTGTCCTTCCTTTCTGCAGGCTCAGGTGGGCAGTGCCCATTGAACTTGCTAGAAGGAACATCCCTCTGTTAGGGAGCATGAGGGGAGAGACCATCTAAATCACACCCTCAATATTACGAGACTTGGCAGGTCTGCATTTGCCAGATCTATTTCCATCCTTCTAAGGAGGACTTTTGTCTGAGGCTCTTCCTGCACAAGTCACCTCTCTCAGAGGGGATCTTGGTTCGTTTCCAGTTAATGCTTTACCAACAAGTCATCAGCTAAGCTTTGATCACAAAGTCTTAATTAATGGAGGCAGAAGAAAACCAACAAGAGTTTCAAATCCCACCGAGTCTCTGCAGTGCTTGCAGTTGGCAAATACTTGGTTTGTGCTGTAAACTGAACTAATTTTGTAGTATAAAAATAAATTAGTTTTTGTACCGGAATATATTTGGGCCACTTTTGATGTGAGCCACATCAAGTAGATCAGAATCTACTTACGTAAGAAAGTAGATCAGACTACTTACTAGGCATTATTTTGTTTAAACTTCAGAACACCCTTGAGAAAGAACACTGAACCTCACAGAGATGTTTCTGTATTTTACAAAATATAAGCATGCTTAGAATTTCTAAGGAGTTTTTTGAAGTCCAGAGGCAGATGAAAGAACAAAACCAACACATGTGGTACCCTTAACTACTAATAAAAGAGTTTTCACTCAGGAAAGGGATAGACTTATCAATAGCAGTTCAGTCCAAAAATGGATTTTTTTTGGTCTATTTTCTTACTATTTATTTTACAATTGCTGTATTTATAAATTTTAGAACAGGTAAGCAGG